ATGAGAACAGTAAGAAGAGTTCCATGGGGGTGGGATATCTCCTCAAGTGGATTAGGATCTCTAGTCTGATTCACTTTCTACTCTGAAAGCAGAAATACTTTCTTCCCCTTTGTCAGAGACTCCTAAAATTTAACTTGCAGGAAATGCAGCCTGGGCTATGGCCACCTCAAAACCCGATATCCTCCTGATTCTGCTGCAGAAACTGATGGAAGAAGGAAATACACTGTACAAAGTAGGTAGATTTGTATTTTTTTATGATAACAAAATCTTGGACTTCTGCCTGAAAGTAGATTAAATTTCTTTATATCTCCTTTTCAACAACTTCATCTGATATTTTATACTGGCTTGTTAAAAAAAAAAAAAAATAGATGCATGTATCATAGATGATTTTTTCTAGTACTAGTAGTGTTAATGCAAGTGTTATCCTGGTCAAATACCATTAAACGTTTTGAGCTCAGAAACAAACACAAACTGTACTCAATGTGCAAGTTCTCTCAGTGTTTGTCTGCCAGTATAGCCCATACTGTGTATATTTATTTTTTTAAAAAAATCTGTCCATCTGTTTTCTACTTGAAGGGCACCTCTCGGTAGATGTCAAATATAAAACGCTTTTTTGCAACGGTATTGCAATATTTAAAGTTTGTGAAAAGCTGCTTGTTCCCTAAAATCTGCAGAAAGGCAAGATGAAGGAAGCAGCCCAGCGCTATCAGTACGCTTTGAGGAAGTTCCCCAGGGAAGGATTTGGAGAGGAAATGAAAGCCTTCACTGAGCTGAGAGTCTCATTGTACCTGAACCTGTCACGATGTCGCCGAAAAACAAATGTAAGACCTTACTGTTCCTCTGCTGCCTCTCTGGCTTTGGGAATCTGAGAGTTCTTCCCTATTGCATTGCAGGGGTTGTATGTGGACATATATTTGTGCTATTTTAGAATCCTTTTCACTGGACCCTGATTTTGGGCTTTGTTGTGTCAGCAAATGGGCAGGTCATAAGATGAGTGTGTGTTGCAGTGGGGGATCTGTTACAGCTGCTCTGAAGTCATCCCGTTATTTTGGAATGAGGAACTGCTGGATGTCTGTGGTACTTTTCGTAGACTGGATGGACAGTGCTCCCTTTGTTAGGACACAGCCCAGCCTGGTGCTGTGGGTGCTTCCAGGGGAGGCAGAGCCTGCAACTCCCTCTGCCTGCTGGTGGGTAACCAGCGTGTCTGCTCTTTGCCAGGATTTTGGTATGGCTGAAGAGTTTGCTACCAAAGCCTTGGATCTGAAGCCCAGGTGTTACGAAGCTTATTACGCCAGAGCAAGAGCCAAGAGGAACAGCAGGTACTGTTTATGTGTCTCTGCACAGGTTCTTTTTTAAGCTAACATTTTTAATATCTTGTTCTCTGCTGCTAGTTCCGTGTGGAATTTGCAAAGAAAACATTTTATTTTGTGCACTTTCCATCTGTATTAGGTCTCTGTATCGCTTAAAGCCAACCACACCTAAACTGCAATACTGATTACTTGTTTAGGTAATCACTGGCAGTCCAGAAAGTAACAAACTGATATGAAGAGGGATTATTTTAAGAGTTAATGGGTCTGCTACTAACATGACTGAGCAGAACGTGACCAACAATGTGCCACCCAATCTTATCACTGCATTATTTATTACCAAGTGTATTTATCATTTATTAATGGCTGCTTTTATAGGACAGGATATGTTGCATCATTAGCAGTTGAAGATAAAAAACAAGGGGAGAGAGGAGGAGTCTGGAAAAATGGCAAACTATAGAGGTAGCTACAGTATAAGAAAAGGTGCCTTTGGTTCACAGTGTCTCTTCTAAACAGCTCAATAGTCATGGAGTTCAGCAGGTTCCCTACTCTGGAGGTCATTGTGAAGGGCTTGTGAGATAAATGTCAGTTCCTACTGTTCCCAGCAGAGATTTCTCCTGCCTCCCTGCACAGGCTGTCATGACACTTGGGGAAGGGCTTAGGGCTGGGTCTGTGGTTCCACCAGAGGGAAGAATTTCCTGAGGTGGAGAACATCCAGTTCTTACACTGTCACCACCTGCAGCAGGAAACGACACATCAGAATATTTCTCTGCAAGTGGCAGAGGTGGATTAGTAACAGGCAATGCTGGGGCTCAGATTTGCCCTGGATCTTCACTGTTTACTCTTTTTTTCCTAAACAGAAAGTTACTTGCTGCTCTTGCTGACCTACATGAAGCCACTCAGCTGTGTCCCAGCAATCAGGAGATAAAACGTCTCCTGGCTCGGGTGGAAGAAGAATGCAAACAGTTGCAGAGAACACAGCAACAGAAACATCAGTCTGCACAGCTACTGGAGCAAACCAACAACTCCGACAATGAGGAGGGGGTTGTATCAGGCGTGAAGGAGAATTTCAGTCCTCAAGACAGGGAGGATGAACCGTCACACCCCAGTGAATCTGTTTCCCCACCCCAAAGGCTGCAATGTTCCTCAGCTGCTTCATCGTTCAGCAGGACCCTTCAGGAAGGTGTTCAGCAGAAAGCTCGGTGTGTGTCCCCTCAGAGCAGAACAAACAGTAAGTACCTGAGAGAGCCAGGCTTGATCATGCAGCCAACAAAGCAGGCACAGATTGTAAAAACAAATCAGCACCTGAGCTCTAGCCAGCCTGGATCTAAACCAGGAAGCAGTCAAGGTAATACAAAGGCACAACCATCTCTGCAGCATCTTCCCCTAAGTCCCTTGCCCGTCCCACACTCTAGAAGTCAGCATTTGGATGGGACAAGCACACTGTCATCTGGAAGCATTTCCACAGATCCCAGTGCTGAACTGTGCAGTGAGAAGTTCATGTCCAGCCAATGTTCCCATCCACAGCATCACAAGACTTTCTCTTCTCATTCTTTTGCCATCAAGTCTAAACCCGCAGACAGGTCAACAGCCCCTGCTCAGATGAACTTCAGTAACACGAGGCAGCAAAGCCCTGGACCCAGCGCTGCCTCTTCGAGCTCTCCAGCCAGCAGTGTGATTCTGGCCAGCTCAGCCAGCAGCTTCAGCTCAGCCAGCAGCTTTTCAGGCAGTGTTAAGGGGCTGGGCCCTGATGTTCGACTCAAGGAGAGTAACATGAGTCAGGTTCAGGGTACCGAGCACCGACCTCGCAATACTCCTTTTATGGGAATCACGGATAAGACTGCAAGGTTCCAGCAGCAAAATATGCAATCCAGTCGCACTTGGCACGCTCAGGCATCAGATGGATTATCCACAAACATTGTTCCTGGGGGCCTCCAGCCCTCAAACCTGGAGCAGTTCTCAGTGAAACACCACCAAACTAAAATCCCTTCTGTGGCTGCTGCCCCGGGAGATGGCAACCAGAGCAGTGTGCAAGCGAGAGACCGTGAGGAGCTCCCCTGCCCAGTCCCTCCCCACTCTCCAGACAAATCTCCCAGCCAAGGTTCTCATTTGTACCCTGATGCTGCAGCCAAACCCCTGTCCCACAGCAGCCAGGACGGGCACCTCAGCCACACGGCGAAACCAAAGCGATCCTTCATTGAATCAAATGTATAAATCCTACTTTGGGTGTTTACAGGGTAAACCTGGCTCAGCACAGCACAGGTGCTTGCTCTGACAACGCTCACTGGCTGGCACAGCTGGCTCCCAGGGAACAGCCCGTGCTGACCAGTCCGTACTGGGATACAACCACTTCAAACTGCTCCTGCCAGCACAGGACAGTGACAGTAACTGGAATAACAGACTTCTCTAGAAAGAGTCAATTAGGGTTATCCAACCAACAGAGTAAGACCCTGAGCAGAGAAATCCTTTCCATTACATTTTACCATTAAATAAGAGTTTCCTCTCACATAGGGCTTCAATCTTGGCTTTTGGTTCTGTTGCATCTCACACATAATACTTGTGCCTCTCCAGTGCTTAAGTGCTTACTTCTCACAGCAGTGTTAAGGAAGATAATCTGCTGCAGAATACTCAGATCTGTACATGCATGCATCTTTTTAAATCAAAGATAGTATTTTATCACTTTTCTAGCAGGATCTAATTTGGGTTGCATGATGTACATTTAGGAAGCATAAATAATTTGTGTATGAGTAAACTATAAGCAGCCGTGTTTTGACATGTAAATATAACTATTTTTGGTAACTAGGAGAAATCAAATAAAGAGTGACATTTGCATGTTTATTAAGAAGCTTTGACCATATTGGTTATTGCACTGAAGAACACAATATTATGGCCTATTAACAATAATCGCACTTTATATAGGTTATCTAATCACCTTTGGGTGCTATCTTAAAGCAAAATGATTTATTGTTTATTTGTGAAAAGGTACAGCAGTTAAATGCTTAGTGAGTGCTTTTATGGGAAACCCAAGAAATGGATAGAGTGAAGATGAAAGTTTGAGGAAAGTGTATGTGCAGTTGCATGACAGGATGAAGCTGTGACGTTTGTTTGGAGGAAATCAGGTTTAATATTGGCAAGAACGTTCTGAAAGGGAATGGCTGCAGCGAACATCGCGACGAGTGCGGTTCAGTTGGAGAGCTCAGCTTTACACTCTGCCCAGCGTGCTCTGTGTCCATGTCAACAGCTGTACCCAGCTCTGCAAGTCCTCTTGGAGTTTGCATCATTATGCTTTAGCTTATTTATTGTTTACCCGTTCTTTGATATTTTGTACAATTCGTATATTAGTCCTGTCCTGTAGTTCTATTTTTGCACAGCTACTGTATTTTTTTTCCATACAAAATAAAGGTGATTAATATACCTGTGGGATGAGATGCAGTCCCTGATGGGATAGAATGATAATAGATCCTATACTTTGCTATTTCTTACCTTCCGAAAGACTGTACACTCAGAAGTCATAAATGTAGTGAAAATTTTAAGAAAACTTTATTTGAGAAACTGTTATTACTTCATTTCTTGCAGAGAAATACTACAAAGGAAAAAGAACCAAGAATTTTAAAAAGTTCTTCTGGGAGTGAAGGTTTTCTTTGAAACAGCCACAGATTAGAACAGAAATAGCACTTTTTTTCCCAGTTGTTTCTGATACAGTTAGTTCCTTTAGCTACACAGAATTCCAAGTGACGTGGTTTAACATTTCTGCTGAGTCTCCAGCCAGCGAGTGATGGCCATTTTTAGGGTCCTGTTGGGTGTGAGCATAAGGGAGTGGAGGGGAAGATTGGTCATGGGACTAGATCGTCTTTTATTGCTGATCCAGTGTTCCACTGCTTCCCTTTCATAGGAATAGCCATCTACAACAAAACCATCAACAGAAGCTCCTATTACAGAGCCTTGGGCACTGTGGCACTCCACAAATTTTAGCTATTTAAATGTAAAAGGAAGGTAAGGAAATACATCCAAACAGGAAAAATTGAGATTTAGAATAAGTCCATGGTCTGTGAAAGCTTTACTGTTTTACAGTTCAGGCTCGTTTCATGTTTCTGTCTCTGACTGCAAAGCACCAAAGTATATTATACACATGTTAAATAGGACTTTCTTTTCGGTTTGACTGATCCATCAGGTGAATTAAAAGCTCTTTAATACAAAACAGCTAACACAGCTAAAGCCTGCTGAGCCCTCACCCCCTGTCTGGTTTTCAGGGCTTCAGCTCTTCAGTTGGTACCCAAGCAAGGTGTTACTTCAAGAACAGAAATGTGGCCCCAGCTCAGTATTATTTAGCCCAATCACCCAGGAATCTCTGTGATGGAATGTAAGCCTGTGTCCCACATGCCTCGTCTAACACAGGCCTACCTACACTCCTTACCCTGTATTCAGTAAAGCCACTCCTCAGAAGTCTGGCCTGATAACCTCACAACTGGATGAAGTTAATCCATCACTGCATCAAAAGAACTTACACTGATCTTCCCATGACTGTGTGCCCCCTCCCCACCCCCCAAGATTAGCACTACTAAGCACTAGTTCATACAATTTTTTACCTGTAGAATATCTTAAACTCCTTGCCTCTCACAGTTCAAAGATCTTGCTGAATTTAAAGGAGTCTCCTTCAGTACAAACTTCTAAGTGCCCTATGGTGTGCCAAGGAGTAAAGAGCCAGGGTTTCCTTGGCTTTTTGCCCCCCTGTGTGCACTTACTTTGCACTTATCAAGCCGAAGATGTAATGAGGCTTGTAATTATATTTGCTAAGGCACATTAAAAAAAAGGAAAAATTGCTTGATACAGTGTTTTTCTCCCTATCAGAAATGTCATTTGACAAATTAAACATCACAATTCTGTTTTGTTGCAACAGCTGTTTAGAATAATTTATCTTTCTGATAAGACAGGCCCATTCTTGTATTCCCACACCTGTCTTTGTCCTCAAGTATTTTTAATTGATGTCATGCAAAGACATACCCGCTGCAATGACAGGATCCTTCATAAGCTCCCTTGTTATAGGACACAGGAACTCATCAGGGACAGGAACAGAAACTGAGATCATTGTCATCCTCAGTTCTTCAATCTTCTGGAGAATTTTACTGCGCAGGCCTAGAGACTCTGAAAAATTATTTATACGTGAAGTGGACAGCATAGACAGGTAGGGCAGAGTCAGCAGCTGCTACAGGAGACACAGCTCCATCTCACTGCCCCCAAACCAAAAAGCTGCAGCCAGCCCAGCCCCAGAATGTCCCTCCTGCTCCCAACAGGAACCTAAGGAAAACAACCAGTAAAACCAACACAGGTGCAGCAATGGCTGTGTGGTGATAAACTCCTAAAATTTAGTTAAACTGCGATTTGAGTAGCACTGGAAATCGTGTTCATCTTGGGCAGATAGTATTTTCTTATTTTGTAAGGGCTTGAGCCATGGCAGGTAGAGAGCAATTCTTCACGTCAATTTTGTCAGGCCATAATTTTTATACCTTAGTTGATTCCGTTCCCCACAGAGACCTCTATTTTCAGCAGGTCATTGATCACATTCAGTTCTCACAGGACTTCCTAGTCAGTGTTAATTGATTGGCCTCAGCTGGTGATGCTGCAACAGAGTTTTAGGCTACTTCAATGCTAAGGACAAGGTGCAGAAACGGAGGAAGGCAGGGGTCTTTCATGGATGACAGTTCTGTCAGATTCCCAGCACCTGTTATTTCTAGAATTCAGCAAAGCTGGCTGATACACAGAGATTCTGTGATCTCATACAGACCAAGTCAACACACACACACAAACCCATAGTAATGAAATAAAAAGGCATTTCGGGGGTGGGGGGAAATCCATGTATGGAACTCCTAACTTTCTTTTATTACAACATTTCAAAGTATTTTAAAGATTAAAAACTAATTGGATTTCCATACTCTTACCAATTTTCAATTCATTAGCAAGACCTTCCTTAGTAAGATTCAGTAGCTCCTTGCCATCAATGTTATTCATTTTGAAAAGCCCAACAAAGTCTGCTAAATCTTGTGCACAGAGCCAGGCTGAAACATCATCCTCTGACCAGTCCTCAACAGCCACCTTTGATTCAGTTTCTACAGTATTTCCTTTGGAAATGAAAAAGACAGTTAGAAAACCAAACAAGCAAACAAAAAACAAAAAATCACCAATCAAAACAAAAAACAACAACAACAACAACAAAAATGAAACCCCCCAGTTCAAAGTAACAATGTCATTAATGAACCCTGGTTTTAAGTGTTCTCAGTACTATACGTTCCCCATCTAATAAAAGAAATGCTTATTCGACATTACTTTGGGGTAGAAGCACAATAATTTTTGTCTTTTACCTATCAATTTTCAAAGTGTAGAGGAATTTAATCTCTCAGATGCCTACATCTGTAAAATCTGAACTGAATAACTAAAAACCAGAAAAGTGTCAGCAGACATTGGAACCATCTCACACCTCCTTAGAAAGCAAACTAATGCCCAAACTTGTTCTTTGAACAAGGTCATATGTACCACTGTTCCACAAATTTTGGGTGCTGATGTATTTTGTAACAGTAGTTATCCTGGTTTTTCTCACCTTTAACAACTGGTAAACTCTCTTTCTTGTTGACAATTATGCTTGCAATTAGCATATTTTCTGGGTAACTCATCACAAATGATGTCTGTCCAAAAAGTCTTTCAGCACTCTGGCAGTAATTTCATCTCTTAAATGCTGTCCAGAGAGCAGTGTATCAAATTAGGATACATCTAGTATCTTTTCCTTTAAAAAATAAATACCTCTGTAGGACCTCAGTCAGGTCAGTTCAAAGACCAGTAACAGGCACAAAGTCCTGAGCTTATTTAACTTATTAACTGCAGGTAAGAATGTGGGGGGTTTGCATCTTCAGAAGGTGCTCTGAATTAAGGAACAGATTACAAATACTTCACACACTGACCTGCAGAGGGCTGCTTAAGGTCCAACTGCCATATGTGCACAGTTTTATCCATTGAGCCTGTGGCAAGTAAGTGACTGTGTGGTGCAAAAGCACAAGTTGTAACATACCTGCAAATAAAACCAAAAAAACACTGTGAAAATTCACAAGAAAAAGATTTCATTTCTTTTATTAACAACAGTGAAACAGAATAATCATATTGAATTCTTACCTGGTGTGCTGAGACAAAGTGTGAAGGGTATTGCCAGTACTCTGTAAAAGAGTTTTTGTAATTTTAAATCTTCAAGAATAAAAAGAACATTTCTTCCTTTGTATGCTTCCTCTCAAAGTAAGGAATATTGTTGCTTGAAAGGTGACACAAGTTACCTTCAGAGAAGTTACACAGCCTTGACAAAGCTGATCAGCAGCAGAGGCAGAAACGCAACTTGAATTTCCTGCTTGAAGTCCCCCCTGGATTCCTTGGGCACTGCTACCCTTCCCAATCAGCCAGCATGGAACATGCAGGAGGGCCGTGCCAGAAACACCAACTGAATGAATTACATCCACACTGGCAGACCGTTCGTGTGGATAAAAACATTTCTGTTACAAATCTGGTATTAGGAATGACCAAAAGGGAAGAGATTCAAACCACAGTCCTTCAACTGGACCAATAATTAACCACAACAGTGGTTCTCCTATTTGGCCACTAAATAGCACTAAAAAACCAAAATCCTGAAATTCCACAGTTTTGATTTATGATTGAAAGATGTTCCCTCTTATAAAAGATACCTTTTTTTTGACAGGTACAGACAAATTGGGAAGATGATGAGCAAAGTTATCCTGAATCACTAATGGATTAGCCATCACCCCAGTAGTTTGAGCTGCCCAACGTGATCAAAGTACCCTATTTTAGGCTGAAATCTCTCTCTGTCCCATGAAGGCTTTTTAAAAGTCCCCACTTTTCCCCACAGAATCACAGGGGACCTCTGGAAATCACCTAGTACCTTTAGCAGGGTCACCTAGAGCAGGTGTCCAGGCAGGGTTTGAGCATCTCCAGAGGAGAATCCACAACTAGAAAAGTTATTGTCCCATCTGATAAAAACCTAAAAGGCCACGAAAGCTGGCAAACAGTATTAAGAAATACTTATGCTGTGGTTTTCTGCATAATTTATTTTCTGAAGCTCCAAAACTCTAGAGGACTTCTTACATACCTGTCTAAACTTCAGACTACAAAAATAACTGGACTAAAAGCTGTGCAGGTATCATATTAGTGATTTGGGTGAAAACTTTAACAGTAATTTAAAAATTGTATCAATACAATAGCTATGTGCAGAGTAAGCTGAAGAAGCTTAAAATTTGTTCATTTTCAGCAGTTATTAATTTTTTTAATACTAGAAAGTACTAGCTAGAGGTAAATAGCACTTAAAGGTGAACCACAAGGGATGTAATAACATTATTATAGAAAATGTTTAAACAGTATGTTTTAAAGAGAAGACACTGCATTTAACATAATTTTCTTGAATTCTTTATTATGCTCCTCTTTTATCTGCACTTTATATATAATTAACTATAGAATTTCTATGACCACCATTCCCGATTTTACGTCAAAAGCTACAGTCCTCCTTGCTTTGGAAGCTAAGCATGTTGGGATAACCAAAACGTCCTTCTGCTTCAATATGAACACAACTTGTAAGTATGGAATTAATTGAATAATACCCTACTGTAGAGAAGTCAACAAATCCTCAAAATGTAGATGAAAAGTGAGAAAGACTGATCAATTCTCAAGAGACACTTTTCCTTGGATAACTCCCGCTCCTCCCCACAGATGCACAGTAAATACTTTGGGATTACACTGTTTCTATTCTTCAGCGTTCCTTTAGGTGATACGACATTGCAGAAGCAGTGCTGACATTAAAAGACAACGACCCAATGAATGGTTTGCACTATGCTATACTTACAGTTTCATAGATTATGACACACTTGTCCACAGACCTTTGAAAAAAATACAGACATTAAAATGAAGCAGAGAGAGAAAAAGAAACTTTTTCATGAAGAAAGGAGGAAAAACCTTTTCTGCAAACAAGATCAGATTTCTTAACAACACTTGATGCAAAGTTGAGATAGCTGTCTCCCCTCCACCAGTGCCCACCTTAAATAAGACTGACCAGTGTGATGTAAAAACCAGCCAATACAAAAACTCTGCCCTTGCAAGAGAATTCCAGAGGCAAAGGATTTGCACAGTGCTTTTGCAAACTGGCCCTCACTGTCTCTATGTCTTTGCAAGCAGCATCTGTAAAATAAATGCGCAGTCTGGCTGTCCAAGACCTACTCTCAGTCCTTTCTATTTGCAAAGCAAGCCAGAGAAGTAGTGTCATGCAATACAGAAAATACAGCTGTGCAATGCAACCAGTACATACATATTTCATGAAATACAAATTGCACATTTATTTACCATGGCAGCAGTATTTCCTGAAAGATTTTATGGGATAGACATTTCACTTATGACAATGTAAGTGAAAACAATAATCTGTACGTCTAACAGAAAATAAAATAACACTACGTCACAAACATTAATAATGATCTTCAAATACTGAAAAAGGCTCCCTTAGAAAGAATATAAAGCAAAATGTCTCCTGGGGTTTGTTTAGTTTTATTTGCTGGCAATTGTAGTCTTTCCTTTGTCCTTTGCAAGGCATCAGCCTTTTAGTTTAGAAAGTCTTTGTAAATAAGACAGTTAAAATTTAGAGTGGAACCATTGTATTTGCTACTTCAAGCTACCATTTAGTTTAGAAATGAACGAATACCTTTCATGAGAAGAGCAGAGTAAAAGCATACAGTCACTAATGTTCACAAAAACTAAGTGATTATACCTACCTTAATTGTAACTGCCTCTCTCAACAGCTTCATCCCTTGAGGAAAGCCACTAGCAACGAGGTGCTGCTGAGCAACAACCAGCCCTTTGAGTGTGACCATGCAGAGCCCCCTGTTGTGAGCCCCCCTCCCCTTCCAGCTGGGCTGTAGCCCTGGGAGCCCCCCAGGCCAGCGGCTGTTCCCTCAGCCAGCCCTCCCCTCAGCCCTGGCTCAGCCTGCCCTCGCTTCCTCCTGCTGTCCTCAAGCACAAGGTGCTGCTTACCCCGAGACCAGCATCTGCCCATCGTATGAAAATGCACAAGCCAGAACTGGGGCAGAATGTCCATTCAATGTGCATTTATGTTTTAATTCAACACCTGAAAATACAAAGAGGAAATTATCACATACGGGCAAATCTGACAATGTACAACACAAGCTGCTTGTAGAAGCATAAAGCTGCACCACAGATGTGACTCTCTGACACACTATCTACAAAGATGGCAGAGACAACTTCATTTGAACATCTCCAACTCCCTCTGTAGTCTTAGCATGTCTCACAGTGTTTTAGATACTAAATGTGTATCTGTACACACACTATTCATCCTTGCAGACCTTTATATAAAAGAGATTACAAAAAAGTACCCACTGTAGATGTTTTTGGCCATTTACCCTGTCTCTGCATTGCAGTTTTAGCAGGAACCAACACTCTTTTCATTTCTCCAGCAATTGCTCAAGGCCCAGGACATACTGAAACATGAAAGCAAACCTCTCTGTGGCCTGGCAGATTAAGAGGTTTCAACCTACTGACCTGTTCAAAGGCCACAGTAGAATTTTTTTAAAATCTTGACTTATACTGTTATTGATAAATAGATGGCTAAATAAAATCTACATGGTGCAGCATCAAGTGGTGAATGTCTCAGCTGCTCTCCCACTAATAGTTAGAAAACTTTCAACTCGTGGTTGGTTGGGCTGTGAGTCCAGCAGTATAATTCTCGCCTTTGATTTTCAAACTGTCACAAGAGACTTAAGACATTGGTATATGAAAAAAACATTGCTGTACATACCTAAGGAATCTGCAAACAAAATAAGCCAGAGTTTGATCTGATTATCTTGTCCGCAAGAAACCATCTGGAAGTATTTGAATCCATTTCCATTATCTGATAAAACTAAAATATATTAATGGGAGTCAGAAGCATTGAAAATAAAGGCATACCAGTAAACTACATCAGCAAAAAATCACTGCAGAAGTTCTAAAATTGCTAAGAAGAAAGAAATCAGTATCACTGTTATACTGTTTCCTGAACAAGTGCAGACCAGTGCTGTGCTCATATTTTAAGTTTTCTTGATGGTAAATGTCTGATTCCCCTATCTACTGTGAGCACCAACATATTCATTTAACTTTAATTCTGTGGTTATACTAATTTTCTCTACAGTTCAGTAGTTCTCAAAGTTATCACCTTGTTTATTGACCTAGTACATTCTTTGCCACCTGCCTGACCTCAACTTTTACTTAAAAGTACTCACAATACTCTAAAACATCAACTCTTCCCAAGGTCATTTGTATCCTGAGCATCAATAACAAAAATAATATGAAAAGAAGAGCTAGAAAGAACTAAAACCTTTTTTTTTTTTTTTTTTCTCCCCTGATGAATTAAGTAACTAACCAGATACTGGATTTGAAGAAATATCACAGCAGGTAACACCAAGATCATGTGCTTTTTCATTATACAGGCACCTCATTTTATCATCCCAAATGGTTAAATCACCACTTGATGATCCAGTGACAAAGAAATTCCCACTGGGAGAAAATGCACAAGCCACCAAAGAACCATCTTTAACATTTCCAGACCTGAAAAGCAAGAGTACACAGGATTTGAATTTAGAATAAGTACAATTCTGAATAAGTGATCTATCAAACACCATCTGATACAATAAGCCAAACTGTTCCCAGTTTTGCACATTAGGTCTTGGTAACAGAGGCAAGAGAAACTCAACCCAACTACGGAAAGAGATGCCAAATAAGCACTGCAGCAGGGAACACACCTGCTCTTTGACTGCAGGAGGAAAAGTGTGAGATGGCACCCCAAGGCAATAATTTTAACTGAGATAATTTTCAAACTACTTGCATGGACTTTACATTTAAAAATAACATTCTAGGGTAGGGTACATTTTAAACGTCAAAAATAAATGCACACTATCATAACACAGATTTACATGTACACAAACAAGGCAAAAAGATTCCCATAATTCCTCTGTTCTGTTTTTAAAGACAAAACAGAACACCTACTAACCCATATCATGAGCTGTAGTTGAGAAGAATACTTTGTGATTTATGATGTAGGGTTAATTTTGAACAACATGTACACAAGAGAAAGCAAGGTGGAAAAAAGTCTCTATTTTAACTAAGCCAAAGCACTTTGTAAAACTGATCTTTAAAGAAAATTTCTAGCAGATACAGAAGCGTGGTCAATCCTCAGGAAGGAAGTGGGGTCAACCTGACATCCTTTACCTTGTCTGATAATAATGTAAAGTCAACTCAAAGTGTCTCACTCCTTTTAATGAACAGCAGATCCAGCCCAGCACGCAGAGCTGAACCCATAAGTGCAGGAAGACAGCAAGAAATGTCTGTCTTATTTACTCTGTCATTGTATCTTGTAGAAGCTGCTCGTTCTCTTTCGCTCATAGAAATTTTATTTACTGTGAGAGGTATCAAACTTAATGTCACAGAAGTCAGTAACTTTCCCTGAGAGTCTTGATAATCAAGTGCTTCTACAAAGCACTGACTCCCTTAATTCCATCATTAGGAATACTGTCAAATCCACTACAATGCTTCCCATTTTCATATGTAGAATCCTTTTTCCTTAGTGGAGCTTTTAAAACTTTCCTTCTTTCACACAAAAAGCTGCAGATTCTGCTCTCAAAACATAACAGTAACATAAACAGTGCTGCACCTGTTCAGAGTACGCATTTAAGACTTGTGGGCCAGATATTAGCATGAGAACTACTGAACAGAAAATAAGGACCACTAAGAAATACACATAAATTAACTTGCTTTCATGCTGTTCACATCCATCACAGAGATTATTTAAATAGCCATCTTACTTCACAACTTGAACAGTCAATTACAACAGCACAACAGATAAGGAATAACTGGCTACCCTTGTTCTAATTACCATCCACATATTTGGTCAAGTGACATAACAGTGTAGCAAAAGGTGTTCTCTTCTTCAGCATCAACACAGTCAACTGTTGCAAAAGAAACAGAGGACCACAGACTGACACTACATGATTAACTAACATCCTCTGACATAATTTTTAAGTACCTTGATAATTTCTATGTGACATTGGTCTCAGCTTTTAAAAACAGGGCATGTGTATTTTTCTATCTGCAGTTACAAATTAAAATAAAAAATATTCATCATCTGAAAATACATACACACATACACACCCCAAAATACATATAATTAAAGTTAAGCTGACTACTGTTGGCCTGTTAACACTCTGAAATGAACTTTTAATAGTTGAAGGGGACAGGATTGGGATGTCCAAGTTCTTTCTTATTTCTCTACAATGCTAACAAAAATAATTTGTTTATAACAACAGCATAGTTTCTACATAGCCACTGTACTGAATACTATATATTCATGTGATGGTTCGGACTTGGCTCCCTGCCAAATGCCCAACCCCCCCGTAGTAGCCTCTCTCTTCCCCCTTCCTGCTTTCCCCAGGGCAAAGGAAAAAAAACTATGCAAATTGAAGAACCCAAAAATCAAGCTAGTTATATATAAAAAATATATATATTTTACGTATATTACAGTGAAGATGCTTTGTACACAGCACAGGGAATCCAAACACCCCCCGAAGGGATAGGGAAAGGGGAAAAGGAACAAAAGGGAACAAAAAGGGACACCGAGCAGATATATGCAATCAAACCCGAGAACCAGTAAAATAACTAGTAAAACAAATCTCACCATGTCCCTTAGAAAGCAGGACTGGCAGACACGGCCAGCACTCCCCAAGGTTCCACGTGGCAGGTCAGTGGGTGCTGCAGCCTCAGCCTTAGATAAGCGAGACCAACGCAGGGACCCACTGTTCCCGAACTCCGGCAGAAGAGAAGAGAAACTAAGGCCGCTCCTCCCTTCTTATTTATACCTGATTTACGTAAAAATTGTATGGAATACTGGGAACACTGCCCCTTCCTTGGTTACAAACTGGTAACCAGGGAAGGTCTAGATTAAAACCACCACAATTCACCATTCAATCAGAAGGAAACCAAGGACGTAGGTCTAAAACGTGCATCACTGCATATATTAACAGCACACACTTGTAAGAAATTACTTTTTAAAATGTCTGTGGTTTTCCCTTCAGCAACAAGCATTCTGAATAAAAAAAAAATTTATTCACTAGTAATATGTCAAAACAGATAAACCCTTCTTACAGTTCAGAATAATAATGACTGAAATTCCAAATTTTTCTAAAAGATAAAAATAAGAAAAAATATGTAATCACTACCTCTCTATTGTCTGAAAACAAAACAACCATTTCAGCATGTCTTTATGCATTAGAAAAACCACGAGGGCAAAAATCTATAAGAATTCTGTTTATGGACAAATTTCCAGATTTACACTATTTCAAGTAACTTTAATAATTAATTTTGAAAAATTTTACAGTTCCCATCTAAATCACTGCTATGGAAGGCAAAGGCAGAAGGCCATAAAAGCAGTAACATGCTTGACAAGGGATTACCAACACCAAACAACCTTGGCTTTCTCAAATGGCTGCTCAATCCCTTACTACTTTCCGAACTTTGGGAAGTAGTTGTGGAATTGCAGCTCTAAAACCTAAATAATGTCTTGTCCAAGTACAGATTACAATAACTGGCCTGAAGACTTTCCTGAAAGATAGAGATGTAGAGGAAGACTTAGAAGATCACTCTAAGGTTCATGCCTTTAACTGTGCAACATCAATAAATATGCTCATCCTCATCTGCTTTGTTTCAAATGCTTCTCGGAAACCCACGTCATACTGAACTCATTTAGCTCCAATAATCCTTTCTGTCACTGTTATGATGTCTCAAATTGTAAGGTTTCAGGACACATCCATAGTTTAGAAACTCCGACTGCTGGATTACTATCAAGCTTCTAAGACCTTCCTGGACTCCAAACTCCTACTAATTAAATATTTGATTTATACCACTATGTATAATGCAATATAAAGCACACAGTACAGTCAGGCTCCATTAACTAACTGTATATTACGTATCACAGTCTGCTGACTCGCTGTTTAGGAACCAGATGCAATGCAGTACACAAGGCATCATGATTTCATGTTAAATGAATGAAATGAACTTTTAAAAAGATTGGGATTTAGATACAATATAAATGAGTAAAAATCAAAGCCTCAAATTTGCTTTAACATTTAAAAAAAACAAAAAGAACCCACAGCAACAAAACCAAACCAACCAACCAACCAAAACCAAAAACCAGTAACAACAACAACAAAAAAAACCCACCAAAACCCCCCAAAAGACTCAGCATTTCTCCCAGCCTTAGGGTCTTCTAAATCATTTCCCCGTTTCTTCGTGATACCCATCAGCGGTGTAGGTCTGCAAGTCCTGTCCACAGCACAGCTCGCTACTCAAATGACAGCCTGCAGAGCAGGGTACCTGTGGGAAAGCACTGGCACTGACCTGTAGAGCTGCAGCGACTGGACGTTCCAGAGCACGAGGCTGCCGTCGGCGGCCCCCGCCAGCAGGCAGGTTCCACGTGGGGAGAAGCGGCACACCCTGACGGGGCTGGCGCGCGGCTGCCCCAGCACTGCCAGCCGGCGGCCGTCACGCGTGTCCCACAGCGCCGTGGTGCCGTCCGTGGAGCACGAGGCCAGCACGCGGCCCGACGGCGAGAAGCAGCAGCAGTGCACGGCGTACGTGTGGCCGCGCAGCGGCGAGTACGGCAGCTCGGCGAAGTCGCTCAGGGAATAAACACGAACTGTTTTGTCCAAGGAACAGGTCGCCAAGCACGACGACGAGAAGGCGCAGTAGTTGACATCATCGCTGTGATCCGATAAACTGTGAATTAATGTTGCCATTTTCAAAAAAGGAATCTGAAAAAGAGTTCAACAGTCAGACTTAACTCCCCTATTTCAGAAATGAAACACGCCCCTTAACAAGACACGTTCTCCAGAAGAAAAAAAAAAAAAAAGAAAAAAAAGAAAATTCATTTGCAAAGGCAAATTTTTCATCTAAGCATCATTTAAGTACAGAATCATAGAACAGTGTGGGTTGGAAGAGACCTTAAAGCTCATCCTGTTCCACCCCCTGTCATGGGCCAGGACACCTTCCACTATCCCAGGTTGCTCCAAGCCCTGTTCAACCTGTCCTTGGACACTTCCAGGGATGGAGCAGCTGAACAACCTATGCCAGGGCCTCCCCACTCTCCCATGGAACCATTTCTTTCTAATCTCTAATCTAACCCTACTCACAGTTGAAATCCACTCCCTCTTCTATCATTATATGCCCTCGTAAAAAGTCCCCCTTCAGCCTTCTTCTAGTGTGTGGCTGGAGCATTTCACTGAAGATAGAGACAAAGAAGACATTGAGTCCCTCCACTTTCTCCGTGTCCCAAGTAACCAGGTCTCACATTACTTTTCAGAGAAGGCCCACATTTTCTCTAGGCTTCCTTTTATCACCCATGTACCTACAGAAGCTTTTCTTGTTGCCCTTGACATCCCTGGCTGGATTTAAATCAATCAGGACTTTAGCTTTCCCAACCTGATTCCTGACTGCTCGAACAACCTCTCTGTATCCTCCCAGGCTACCTGTCCTTGCTTCCATCCTCTTCCTTTTGTGTTTGAATTTGTCCAGGAGCTCCCTTCTGCTTCCTTTCACAGACAGCAACAGTAGTGACGGCAAAACATCACAGCAATAGTAACAACAGGCTTTTGTTGGCAGTCTGAGGTTTGACAAGAGTTGACTAAAACATTTAAGTCAAAATGTGAACATTATTTGGGTGATCAGAAGCTGAACCTCTCAGGAAATTGCATTTGCTCCTATGCAGAACAGCAGAAGAAAATATGTACATCCCACACATTTTCCCAGTAGTTAAAACTGCAGTGTCAGACAAGCAATTTACACTGCTGAAGTCTGGGAAATCCCCAAAAAGGTACATCCCAACCAGTTACTCCCATGCTGCAGATCACAGTCAAGCTTCCTGAAAATAAGGAAGCATTGAGCCAAAGCAAAGTGCTTACACGTCTCTAAAAAGATGTTTATAATGAACAAAAGCAGCAATACTATTTATACTGAGTTAAATAAGAGTCTGCTGGTTTAGATAAGTATTTGATTCTGAATCATTTAAATGCTGAGGCATCTGCAAAATAAAACCATTCATATTCATACATTTTGAAAAAACATGTCAATGTATATGCACGTGTTTGTATGTATGCGGACACACAAATCTGTATATATGTATGCATACATGCAGAGGTATGTATGTACACATACAAAGGTACATATAAGGGCAAAACCCCTGTTCTCCTCAGGCGGTGTATGGCAGGCCAGTTTAGTTACAGACCAAATCACTGAATATTCCCTGTTGTAGCTTCAGGACTCTCAGAGTTTTACTACTATTCTCTTTAAAAGAATTAAAGAGATGAAGCAGTGTCAATAACATGTCTGATCGGCAGAAAGAAAATAAACATACTTTCTTCAATTATGAGAAACTGAAGAATCAGACAAAGCTTGACATCTGAAAAGGTGAGGCTAAAAAAGCGACCTTAATCTCACTGTTAGGAGACTTTCAGGAGCTCACCGCAGGAAAGCAAATCTAGAAACGAGATACTTCAGAATCAATAACCTGGCTGAGGGAGCGAGGAGCACCAGAGCGTTCGTCACCAGAGGGATGTTCAGCACCACGGCGTCACCTCCTCCGGCAATTACCTATTTTTTTCAAAATCCGTAAGCCTCCAGCAGCTGCCCACACGAAAAGCTACAGCAATTCTCGATACGGCTTCGACAGCCCCTTCCACGGTACTATGGCCCACAGCCCATCCCACACAGCCCACCGCTCTCGGGAGGGCGGCGGGGTCACCCCGAGCTCCAGTGGCGCGGCACCACCACCTTGCCCGGCGGCTTCCCGGCCGGCCGGCCCTGAGGAGCGCCGGCGGCTCCCGGCCGGGCTGGGCCCCCCCGCCCCCGGCTCCCCTCCCGCCCCCGGCTCCCCCGCACCTCCCGTGGATCCTCCGGCCTCGGCCGGCCCGCACGGCCCGGGGCGCTGCGCACGCGCGGTCCCCCCCGCCGTGTCGGCGTGGCGCAGCCCGGGCCGCCTCGCCCCGCTCGGGGCCGCCCCACGGCGAGCCGGCCGCGGGGGTGCCGGCGCTGCGTCAGCCGCTCTGCCCGCCGCCAGCAGCCCCGGCCGCCGGCAGCCCCGGCCCAGGCGCGGGTAGAGCGCAGCTCTCGGCCCTTCCCGCGGCTCCCCGGGGCCGCAGAGCCCTGCCAGCGCTGTGGCTGCGTGACGCGGGCCCTGCCGCCACCTGTGAGGACCCGGCCTGCGGACCCGGCCTGCGGACCCGGCCTGCGGACCCGGCCTGCGGACCCGCCGCACCCTCAGAACCCGGCCCCGCCGCACCCTCAGAACCCGGCCCCGCCGCCTCCGCCCTGGCACCGAGCCTGCGCCCGGCCGGGGAGCGGCGCGAGGGGAGCTGAACAAACAGCTCTGCCAGCACCTGTCACAAATTCACACCATCGCCGCGGCACATCCAGTTACACGTTCAGCAACTCATGCAAAATAAACAGTTTATCACCGCACCTACTTTTTTCTGAGGAAGACACAGACACTTCCTCGGAGTCCCTCTGTGCCTAGGACGCATTCCCTGCTATGCAATCATCTCCGTGCCGTGTCCAGTCTGTACCATCTTGCGTTCTGTTTTAGGGCACGTTATTTGACTGCACGCTGTGTGATCCACTGGCTGAAACCTGTCTCACCGGCATCACCGTAGCAGCTGTTACTGCCTTCAGCTTCCAAACCGTTGAGCTGAATTAGGATACAAGCTGAAAAAATCCAACTACGTGTGCAGTGTCGCTGGTAACTGGCTCTGACTTATAAAAAAACCTGACAGTTCTAGTAGGGCAGACAAAGCATTGTCCAGTACAGAATCTGAGATTGTTCTTCATGGAAGAATTAGTTTTCGCATTTATCTAAGCAAGCTTACCATCACACATGCACAACACTGATTAATCTTCACATCTCTGGTACATGTCAGCAAACCTTTTTACTGAAGTCTTCAGAAAGGTCATGAAAAGAAAAGGTGTGGAGCAGTCTGGGCGAGTTCATGTTAGAATGCAAAACTGCCTGACACCCAGATGTAATTTTTTTATTCTAGGTAATAACAGATTATTCTAACAAGACTTCAGAAAAGAAAAATATAATTGAACAAGATATTCGGGGGGGGGGGCAACAGAAACAAACATTTCATTAAAAAAATAGTCACTGAATGTTTTTTCTTAGAAGAGACAAGATAGCAAGGCTTATGTAAACCAAAGCTCCAAGGCTCAAACATGGCAGGTCTAGTTTAAAAGCAAAAAACACCCCTCGCAACACTGCTTTATGACAGAGCTATAAGTACTGGTGTTCCACAATATCCCTTTGCAATTCCTCTGTCTTCTTCAGTCAGAGCGAGGATTATGACTAATGACCTTCTACAGGCCAAAAAAGGGACAGAACTTTAAATCTACAGTGGTTTCCAGACACATTATCCATAGTGTGTGTTTCCATGACACATGACTCCCACCATAAGGGCAGTGCCACCCCAGCCCTGGGGACACCCTGAGGCCTCCCTCAGTTATTGACAGGATTCTTACAAGTGGGACCTGCTCTCTGACTGCTGGCAAAGGCAATTGCTTCCTTTGGAAACACCATCAAAAGGCCAGGAGAATTAGATGCACCATAAGAACAGAGTGCTACATCCAAGACTCCTAAGATATTAAAAAGCAAAACAAAACACCTGTATACACAGGAGCTGAAGTATTAAAATTGCCAAGAAAATCTGGTTTGCAAAACAGTCTTTTATTGTATCCGTGCCACACATACTAGTGAAAAATAACACTCCTAAAAAAGGAAAAGAAAAAGAATGCTACCTTTCCACATTTCTTTTAAATAAAACTTCAAGTACTCTTACATTAGTACAAAAAAAAATTCTGATCTATCTGCCCCAACAGGCCACCACAACACACAGTAGATAAAACACAGTGGTTACAAATGTCTTATTCTGTGGCAAGGCAAATGGAGGGAAATGTTTCTATGAAAAAATACTGTGTGCGTAGGAAATTGTCACAATTTTCTTCCACGTGGATACAAATGATTATACTTGAATTTGAGGCCGTGGTGGCTTGAAATTATATAACAAAATAGAAAAATGGAAAACTAATATCCCCTACACCCTGTTTTAAAGGCAGGCACTACCAAGATTAAGGAGACTCCACAGTGTTGGTAGAGGATAATTACTGTACAAGCCATAGAGCTATAATTACCTTAAGACTAAAATAAAATGCTACCATCCTCCTAAGGCATAAACAATAATGTCTGCAAACAATATGTACACATCATACATATTTAAAACAAGACTTAATATAAACAATAATGAACAGTATATACATGTCTCAATTTTTCTTCACTGTCTTGAAATACAATTTAACTACTCAAGTGATGCAGCAACATATATATAAATGTACTTGTAACTCTACAGTAAAGTTTAATTTTTAGTGCTTTCACAGCACATCAGTGTAAACAGTTTTACTTGGCTTTGTTTTATATTTTAAAACATTCCTTGTTGTATTTTCAACATTTAAAGCAATTTTCTAATTCTTCCTTTTCACAGAAAACGAAGATTCTGAATGCTGTATAATCATAAATAATTCATAAAATTAAATACATTCACTAAAAAATAAACTACAAAGTAAAAAAATGAAAAATAGATATTTATTGAAAGGGAAAAGAGAACCATTTCCCCAAGTAGAGCTCTGGTGGTTGAATATTCAGTGCGTTTTGATAAATTGCTATTGCACTATAACACCCCTTCCTTTGAAATTCTTTGGGTGTGCTTCCCTGTTCTACCTAAATTAGTTTTGTTAAAACACACAAACCAATAACCAAGGGGCCATGGTTGCTGTAGGAGTGAAGCCTTTAAAACTACTATCACAATTCTGTGATATTTTAAGGAGAAAACCCAGTCATTAGTTACACATGTGCCTTGCACTTTCATGTAAATACAGTTCACACTGCTGGTCTCATCAGTCCTCATTTGATGGAGAAAAAAAAAAAGGAAAAAAAAAAGAAAAGAAAAGAGTTCTGGTAGCTTCAGCTCACTTTGAAAACCTCTGTCCATTTTTTTTCAAAATATTTCCTCATGTTGTGGCCAGCCCTGCCTATGTCAGAATCGTCTTCATTGAAAGTTTCACAGTTGTCAAAAACAAGCCTGACATCAAGTGAAAATGCTTCAAGATTCGGGTACCTGGAAGAAGAAAAAGGTGAATGATTTTTGGAACATGGAGAATCAGAGGGGAAAAACACTTCAACTACACGAAAAAGAACTTTCTTAACATCAGTGAATATTCAATGAATGTTTGACATGTTAATTATACATTTAGTTTTTAAATTCTGATTTAAATATTTACAGGAAAATGAGCATCAGTGCAAGGAAATACTCTCTCATCGCTGTATTTGTTATTGTCCTCAAAAGCTTTGTAAGGTAGAATTTCATGCCTGTACTGGAAAACAAACTTGTTTAAAAACTCATTCCCCCTTCCCTTCAATAGCTTTCTCATTAAAATGCTATGGCTGTTGCCATTTATGTATCTATTCTTGGGCTCAGGGTCCTTTCAAAGGAAGTGTTGAGTAGAGCTGCATTTACTTAAAAGAGGAACAAATGGGCACAAAAGAAGGCTGCCCAGATAATCATGAACATTGGCTTTGCTATTCTTTTTATTACCTGAAACATACACAGCCCAAAGAGTGCTCCAATATTCACAGAAATTATTAAAAAAAAAAAAAAAGAATAAAAGTTACAAGTCTATCAACACCAATGAGCACGTATAGAGCATTTAAATCTCATATTCAAGGGAGAAAAGGCCTGAAGAGGTTAGAAAGCCCCTTGTGCTATTCCAGGAAACTTGCTCCATGTGGAGCTGACAGACACCCAAGAGGCTCAGTCTTCACAGATGACAAAACGTGCCTTGGTGCTGGGCAGCCCTAGAGCACAGGGTTATGACAAGGAGGGAAGGGGGACAGAGCAATATACTGTCTTGCTCTTTTTTACAAGTTGTGCTGTCTAGTTCTAGGACTATAAAATGATTAACCACCATTACTGGAGTGTTGCCACAACAGAGCTGCCAAGTCACTCCACACCCACATCATTTACCGGGACTCCACTCTTAAAGCCCACACAGATGGTTCTCTCTGACATGTAATAACACTAAGATGTCTCCATGAAAAAAGATGAGGAATAAATTTTTTTCCTGTTGATTGTTTTGGTGCATTAGACCCAGCAGTTTTACTGTTTTTCAGCCAGTTTGACAGATTCTCCTACCTAACATGGTATTTCACTTGGTTATGGCAAAGGTAAAAGCATATAATGAAGAATTTTATTGTAACTGTAGAAGTAATCACAGATGTGTCAGAGCAGGCAGATCAATACAGTTTAGCTAATTTTAAAAAAATGTATTTTAATATTATTTTTAAAATGTATAGTAAAATTTACAGTAGGTTTACTTACTGTCCACTACTTAGCTTGTCTCTAATGGTGGAAAAGTCCATAGGTTTTTTAATAACTTTCTTATAACCAGGAACAAGTTTCAAGTTTACAGGAAGTAAGAAAGGCCAGGCATCTTCATGGGTTTCCAATTCTGAGAGAATCATGCTGAATAAAATAAGGTTAAAACCAGTATTTTTAAGCTGTTCATACATTTACAGAGGTTTTCCACTGTTCTATAAATTCATCATGCACTGCCAAACTATTCACTTTATAAAAGGAAAGCACTTTATTCTCTGTCCTGTGCAAGGCTGAGAACAATGTATATAAAGACAGACATCTAAACTGAGTCATTAAAATAACATTTA